GCACGCCCTGCCGCCGCCATGTGACCACCGTACATACAAGCACGGACCGAGCGAGCTTTGCCGACTACTCCCTGCTCCCTTCATAAAAAAAATAAATCTAAAACTGGACATTAAAAAAAATAAATCTAGAACTGAATATGATACATTATAGTACAACGAATATAAGTAGATGTATATTTAAATTCATTGTATCGTGATGTGTAACATCCAGTATTAGGTAGATTTTTTATGGGACAGAGTAAGTAAATATTTCAGCTAGACAGCCAGACAGAGACAGGCAGGAAGGAAGATCGACGAAGGCGGTGTTTAGTTCATGTGCTAAATCTTTTTTAAAGTATACGGACACATATTTGAAGTATTAAACATAGACTAATAACAAAATAAATCGTAGATTCCGCATGTAAACTGCGAGATGATTTTATTAAGCCTAATTAATCTATCATTAGCAAATGTTTAGTGTAGCATCACATTGTCAAATCATGGCATAATTAGGCTCAAAAGATTCCTCTCGCAATTTATATGCAAACTGTGCAATTAGTTTTTTTTTCCACATTTAATGTTTTATGCATGTGTTCAAATATTTAATGTGACGGAAAAGTTGAAAGTTTGGAAAAAAAATTGAATCTAAACACGGCCGAAGACGAGAGGTGATATGAGAGGTCGCTGACACCGGCGACGCCGACGGCCGCCCTGACGCCCATGGCCGGCGCTCAAGAAGGTATACAGCGACTTCTCTTCTTGAAGACGTCGTTTTGGCATCCCCTATGGGGCAATCTCGGTTGTCCCTTTGTTGGTCTAGTGGCGGCCGATCACGCTTAGCGGCGGCCAGTCCGGTGCTAGCCTTCTCTTGGGCTTGTGTGTTGACGATGTCGGTGTGTGGGTGGTGGTATTTTTTCCTTTTTCCTGTTTACGACCCTCCAGGGTTATAATCTTATAATTTTTTCATGCTATCAATAGAACTTCGCACCGTCTCGTTAAAAAAAAAGGTATAAAGCGACGAAGTACTATATGTACTGAATTACTGAGAACTCTGGCAGCTGTGGCCGGTGGAAGCTTAATTACCATGAGTTCATCGGCGGTCAGCCCATTTAAAACACAAATCCCCTACTCTCTCCGCCTAATTTTAAATGCAGCTGTTGGTTTCTATGTCCAACATTTAACCGTTTATCTTATTTGAAATATTTATGAAATTTTCACGTATAAAGTATTATTCATGTTTTATCATCTAATAATAAAAAAATACTAACAATAATTTCTCTTAAATAAGACGAACAGTCAAACGTTGGCACATAAATTAGGGGTGAAAACGGTTGGAAAAACCCTCTACCATTTTTCATTTTAATTTTTTTCTTGAAAATGAAATCGGAACGGTAGACCCAAAAGGGTAAGGGTTAATTTAATCCATGCCATTGCAAATGTGGCTACTCAGAAAAATATCATTACAATTCGTCTATTCGTAACCGTATCACTCTAATTTTATGAAATTAGAACCATGCCACTGTCGTCACCTTTTCCATCCATCCTCTTCCTTTCCGTCTTCTTCCTTCCTTCTCCATCTTCTTTCCACAGAGTCGGCGTGCTGGCCAGCCTGTCCGTCGCCGCTCTCTGGCGATAGCGTCGCCTCCCGGAGCCAAGTCGGTGAGCTCGGAGGAGAGGGAGCCAAGCCGGCATCGCCATCCCCTCCCTCCGCGCTTTCGCCCACTCCTTTCTCTGAGCGCCGGAGCTAGCACCGTCGGCCCATCTCTCCGCGCCCCGGCTCCTTCTCCGTGCCGAGACGGCGCCAACGCCACGCACCCCAGCTCCTTCCATGCGCCGGAGCCCGCGCCGTCCCTCCCTCCACCGTCGTTCGCGCCGCCGCAGCTAAAGCCACCGCGTCGTCTCCTCCCTCCTCGCATCGGCACCAACGCCACGCGCAGGCCGGCGGTGCCACCGCCGTCCCCTCTCTCCGCGCGCAGACCGACACCGCCCCATCCCTTCACGCGCCGGCACCGTCACCGCAGTCCTCTCCCTCCCTCCACTCGCCTGCGCCGCCGCCCCCTCCTTCCTCTGAGTGCCGGAGCCTGCGCCGCTGCCCCCATCCCTCCGCGACACCGACGACATGCGATGGCCGTTTCCAAGATGTGAGAATGGCGACCACAACCGGAAACCGGAAGGGGTAGAGGAGGATTTGTGACAATGAGAGGTTTCACCTTTGACCGGTCGGAGCAGTGGCGGTGCGGCGGCAGCAGCGGTGTGGAGGAGTTCGGGAGAAGAGAACGAAGGAAGATGACGAAAAGGAAGAGGATGGATGGAAAAGATGACGACAGTGACATGGTTCTAATTTTGAAAAATTGAAGTGGCACTGTTACGAATAAACGAATTATAATGATATTTTTCTGAATAGTCACATTTGTAATGGCATGGATCAAATTAACTCAAAGGGTAACGTATCGGTAATATCGGTATATTGGAAACATGACCATTGGAACGGAATCTACCAATATTGGTCAAAAGTTGAAAATTCATATTGGAAACATCAAAGTATGGCATAGTCACACATTTAACTATGCATGAAGATGACTTTATAACTTTATTTTTGTATCATCACACTCAAGATAACACCGTTATATGATGATTATCGATATGATAATAAGTTCGACGAACAATTCAAACAAACTTCAGCAATACGTCAATATCGATAAGTCGAGGAGATCAAAATTCAGCAAAAGTCACCTGACACACCCTAGGGTTAAAAGCATTTTTCCCTGACCACTTCCCCTTCCTAATGGCCTGCAGGCCTACCATGCTTCTTTCATTCATGGACTTCCGATGGGTAGGGCTAGCTGGGCCACTGAAGAACTTTTGGAATTTTGATGGAAATTACCGGACAAATTTGGTTACCGACAAAACGATCGGAAAAACCTTCATCCCATTTCCACTACCGTTTCTGGAAGATATTACCGTTTCTATTTCTGACACCGACTGAAACGGTCGATGCAAACCAGAAACAGCATCCGAATATCTCAGAAATTTCCGTATAATTTTCACCACTAACAAAAACTCACAACTACACTTAAAATATGATAGAAGGAGTACAGTACTGCAAATACAGTAGGCGTTTAGCGTTTACTATGTACTGTACTGTACATCAGTCGCTATAGCATGTCAGTGACATATACTGTACATGTATCACGGCAGGGAATCCTAATTTAAGATACTCCACGGATTATGAGTAAAATATTATCACGATCTCACCGATTATCTACACTTATTAGGTTTTCCCTAATAAATAAATCGACTCTCTTTACTCTCATGGGTCATAGATAGAAACATGCTGAAGGCCAAAATTAGGTTTAATTGGACTACTAAATCTCAATGGATCTATTGGGCTAAAATTCGGTTTGTTCAGTCTATGCGATTAACCGAAGATACTGACTGAATTGACGAAATGAAATTCGGTGTTTCAACACCTTAGACCCAACGAGTGGCTGAATTTCTCGGTCTAGGTCCCAAGAAATGCCCATCGGTCCCTAGTAAAAAGGATGAGATACCTGAAATCTAGACACTCCTAAAGTAACTGAAAAGAAAGAATATAATTAGGAGTTTTTTCTTTTCAATTTGTCTTGTCTTCTCAAACAGTAAAATATAGAATTGAAAAGTTTTCTTAAAAATTATCAGTTCAATTGGTTACCTGACAAATTGAAAAGAAAACTATAAGTAACAAATGCATTCCAAATAGATCCGATGTTTTAGAATGAAATCTTTGAAATTTAATATGTTCCTGGCCGATAGGATTGTTTTATCCACAAATTCAAAAGAAAACTAATTAACCAAATTTTTTTAACTTTAATCCAGGTTTATTGAAATTTCAAGTTTTTGTATCCGAAATTTCACTCTACCTGTACCACCGAAATATATTTTTTTTATTTCTACTACATACAACCCTGAATACAACCTGCAGCTTGCCATTTGCCTTTTTGGTAGCTGATTGTATACAATATTTTTCTCTTTTCTTTTTATTTTTGAAATTGATGACATTGGCCATTTGACAAGAGGTCAGTTTCATTTAATTTCACAAAGAACAGAAGAGTACTCCAAAAGCACCACCAACACTCCAATCAGAAGACACCATAAAACCTACGGAGACTCCAACACCAAAACCATGTGCTACTACAAACCATATTCCTACAAAAACACCTAGGGATGTACGCTGTAAACACTGTAGAATCCACCCTCTTGTACGGACGATAATATTAATTATATTCAAATAAAATATATGTTTATAGGGGAAAACCTAGATCAACATAGGACCAATGTTGACCACCTCAGTTGCATCTTGTCCTAGGTAATGCCTTTACCAGTTAATGGCTCTGTTAAAGGTTGATGACAGCGCTGCATCATGAGGTGAAATTTTAGTTCCATATTTTTTCCCCTGTAAGAAATCTTTACCGATGTGTGGAAGCTTACTATAAATACTACTTTATCAAATAATTTGAAAGCAAAATCTTGTGAAAAAATATTTTGACAACAATGTCTAGATGAAAATTGCCTATAAATTGAAACTGGGGAACAAACTAAAACTACATACATCACCATTTTTACAAGCAAGAAAATATCGACGAATTTATAGCTAATTTGCACTCAAGTAAGACAAACCGTCAACTTACCGATGACGAACTTGTTATTGAATAATGGATTAACTAACTAATAACTAACGTTTCAGTCGGTTGATTTACGTCAGATAAACCGTAGAAAAATAAACAAATAAAAAATAACAATTTTAGGCAAAACTTTTCCATCTTTATTTTTAGCGGTTTAAAGGTTAAGATTGTAATTACACTACAATGGAAAGAAAATCTTAAAATCAACTTTTAAATTAAATTTTAAAATTCAAAGTTTTGCTGTGACTGATGAGTCAACAAGCAAACTACTAAGGGTAATATTACATGATAACTTTGAAATTACATATGACAAATCCAGAATTTTGATGGAGTGGTTGGGGGCGGGTACGTTACGACATTAAAATTTCAATGCTATTTACACCTTAATTAAACCTGATGTTCACCACACAAAAGTTACAAAAGGTAACCTTTTTCTTTACAACTCCTGCAATAAGAATTGAAAATTCTCTACTCTTTACACGTGTCCATCATCCCACTAGCTATACTTGTGCCAACAACACCAATCCTTAACACTTGTCAAGAAAGGACACTTGCTCCAAAAAGAGGAAAAAAGGTTAACCTCAACTACCCAAAAAAGGAGTGAAAAAATATATATTCACCTCATCACCATACAAAAACCAAAGGTAAAATGAAGCAATTACACAAAAAAAGAATACCAAACCTCTAAATAAAGCAACCAATCACCACCGCCCAACGCGCACACGCCCACGCGCTCCCCTCGCACGCCACCGGACGAACACCTCGCCGACAACCTTTGCTCCGGCGACCGGAGGTCGGAGAGAGAGAAGAGAGATGAAGATGCCGGGGCGCCTGCTCGCCGCCGGAGCGGCGGCGCTGCTGGTGGCGGCGTCGGTGATGGTGGCGACGCTGCTGACGGCGCCGCTGCCGTTCCTGCCGTCGCTGATGCCGTGCCTGCCCGCGGTGACCGCGCCGTCGGGGTCCGGGTACTCGCCGCCGGGCCTCGCGGCCCTCGCCGACGCCGCCGTGAGGTACGCCACGACGCCGACCGTGCCGCAGCAGTCGCGCGCCGAGATCTCGCTGTCGCTGGCCGTGCTCCGCCGCCGCGCGCCGCTGCGGCTGCTGGTGTTCGGCCTGGGCCACGACTCGCCGCTGTGGCACGCGCTCAACCCGGGCGGCGCCACCGTGTTCCTCGAGGAGGACCCGTCCTGGTACAGCGTCGTGCGGGGCCAGTCGCCGTTCCTCCGCGGCCACCTCGTCGCCTACCGCACGCGCCTCGACCACGCCGACCGCCTCCTCGCCACCTACAAGGACCACCCCTCCTGCCTCCCCGGCGGCGGCGGCAATGGCGGCGGCGACGTGCCGCGCGTGCGGGGGAACGCGGAGTGCCCGCTGGCGCTGCACAACCTGCCGGCGGAGGTGTACGAGAAGGAGTGGGACATGGTGATGATCGACGCGCCCAAGGGGTACTTCGCGTCGGCGCCGGGGAGGATGGCGGCGGTGTGGACGGCGGCGGCCATGGCGCGCGGGCGGCGCGGCGAGGGCGACACCGACGTGTTCCTCCACGACGTCGACCGCCGCGTGGAGAAGGCCTACGCCGAGGAGTTCCTCTGCGAGAGGTTCCGCGTCGGCGCCACCGGCCGCCTCTGGCATTTCAGGATCCCGCCGGCGTCGCGCCGCGGGAACGGCACGGCGGCCGCCGGCGGCGCCGGCGCCGGCGATGGGCGGCGACCCTTCTGCTAAGGAAGTAAGGATTGCGATTTTTGGAGGGGCTTTTTTACAAAATGGCCTCGATTAAGCGGGTGAAATACAAATACTGCTACTACTACTACGAAAATACGATCGTCGTGTAGGAAATTTCCGGATTCCTCTATCCTCTGCCACTTGCAAATTCAAAACTTGGGATATTTTAAATTTGAGGTAAACATTCTGAACAGAGATAGATGCTAGAGAGTGATTTGAGTCTCTCGAGATCACTAAAGTTGGTGTGAACAACAACACGGTGTGTATCTCTTTTCAGTTTGTAATAATAGAAACAATGAGGTGATTTTGTTTTTTTTTTTTGGTATGAGTACATACTAATTTTTGAATAACATTGGTACATCAGGTTAACCTTGAACTGAAATGACCATTTGTGGTTGTCTGTTTATACATTATCTTACAGCTCTCCCTCCAGCCGGTCACAAAAGAATTCCACTTTTAAGATACGTGCAAATTGCAATTGAATCATAAGTATTACTTAAATTGTAGGTTTTGAGAATATGAAAATAACATAGCCATGTTTATTGTGACAAAAGCTTTAATATTATTACACACATACAACCATGAAACAAGCTATAATCATGAAAAAGGAAACGAAAGCAAACGACCACAAAAAAGAAAATTTAGTTTATATATGTTATTACTCCCATCCACAAAAAATAAAAAGGAAAATTCTTCATTGCAACAAACGAGAAGAGCTGGAAATTTTTGCAGTAGACATCGTCCGTGTGTCTATGGGATTGGATCATGATTGGGATCCTTTGACGTGAAGTCAGAGGGACGTGGTGACTGACATGTGGGCCTCACCACTCGCGGGCCCACCTATCAGTGACCACGTCACGGGGCAGTTCACGTCAAAGGAATCGCTTCCGTGTCCATGGCCCTCAATGGGGAATAAGTCTGTTTAACACCCTCAACTTTTGCCCCTAATTAAATCATCTCCCTTAACCGCAATACCGGATATAACGTCTCCTCCATCTTCAAAAACCAAAGCAAATCGAGTTTCTTCGGCCGTTTGGATAGTGATTCCATCCTACGTGATACTTATGGGACCCACATGTTAGTGAGATAAAAAAAGCCCACATGTCATTTCTTTCTTTTTCCTCGCTATCTCTTTCATGTTCTCTCTCTTGTCAGGCGGCGGTACCGGCGAGCAGGAGCCCATGGCTGGAGAGCTCCTCCCTTCACGTGTCATGGCCAGTGACTCCTCCCCTGTGTGCAGCCGGTCGCAGCGGAACCAATAGAACTCCTCCCCAGCTATTGATCCTTCCTTCAGAATCACCACCCAAGCTCCACGGCAGCATTGAAAAATTCATCTTCAGAAATTGCTACTCCTACATAGGGGTGAAAACGGTACGGAAACGGATGGAAATCATCTTTATTGTTTTCGTTTTCATATTTTTTTCGGAATCGAAATTGGAAACGGAAACCCCGGATACGAAAACGGAATCGAATATTATCGAAACCGAAAATTGAGCGAAAACGAACTGGCGCGAATACGGTAACGAAAATTTATCGGAATAAAAAAACCCCTTAAACTAATAAACTCAATTCTCAAGTCTCAATGGTCAACAATTCATTATAAAACACAATCATATAATTCCAATTGTTAAGTATCAACAGTACATCATAAAACACAATCTATGGAATAAATTAGTAATGCTGTTGATAAATCCCAATGCAGGAAAAAAAATATTCTTATGTAATTTTAGATTTACTTAACAAATATTTTTTAAAAAAATAACAGCCAAACACCATGATATTAACTATTCAGTGCTTAAAAAAAGAAACCAAGGTATTTTGTGATTTCTGGAAATTCCGAGAAAAATTCTGGAAATTCTGAGAAAATTTCTGGAAAGTTTCCGACCGATTCCGAGTTCTGACGGAAACTGCCATTATCATTTTCGATTCCGTTTTCGAGAAAATATTTCCGAATCCGTTTCCGTTTCCGAAAAATTCCGACCGACAGATTCCGTTTCCGAAAATAGGTCTGGAATCCGGAAAGTTTCCGTACCGTTTTCACCCCTACTCCTACTGCCAGAGATCTTTAGATTTGGAGATGTGCATCATGTACTTCGCAATCTACATCCAGCAACGCAACAGGCAGTGTCACCAATAACCAGTTCAGCCACTGGTTGATCCAATGTGGATGGAGTTACAGAGAAGGGAAATTGAATCAACCTTTTGTAGGCGGAGGCGGAGGTAGGAGCGGGGGAGGAAGAGCGTGCGGTTGAGATCCATCTGGTAGAGTGACGCCACCAGATCATCGATGCCGTTCTCGGCAAAGTCATCCAGCGTCTCCTCCTGATCTAATCACATCACAGACTATGAGAATTCTGGAATAATTTGATCCAATAAGAATTGGGCACGAAGGAGAAGTGGATCAAGAAGCGAGGGGAGGAGAGGGGACTGACAAGGAGCTAGCAACCACATCTTCTACTTATGCTTATGCTTATGTTTATAGGCCAAATTTGATTTTTCAACCTTAAATTTAGAGTTGATTTTGGGGTTTTTTTATCATGGTTTAGTTTTTAGCAAATAAAATTTTTATTCGCAAATTATTTTTCATTTGCAAATATGTTGTTTGGCTTATTTCCTTGAATAAGCCAAACGATGGAGCCGTAGATTTGCTCGTGGACAACGCAGGAGGCGAGGGGGGAGTCGAAGCAGAGGATATATATCCGGGGACACATTCTTGTTGCGTCACGCTCGCTTCACGTGGGCGGTGGGAGATGAGGGGGGGGGGAGGGTAGGAGGGGGGAGCAGAGGATCTCCGACCACGGAAAAAGAAAGGCTTGACATATGGGTTTGGTTTTTTATTTTATTTTTTTCTTACTAACATGTGTGTTCCATGAATGCCACATAGAACTAAATCGCTATCCAAACAGTCGAGGGATTCGATTTGCTCCGGTCTTCGATGATGGATGAGACGTTATATCCGGCATTGCGGTTAAGAGAGACGATTCAATCAACGATAAGAGCAGAGGGAGGTAAATAGACTTATTCCCCTCAATGGATACGACAGCTGATTTTTTCGCTTTCGCGGCTGTTATAATATTTCTCCACACGTTCATATTTCAGTTTCATTTTGTGGATGTTTAATTACAACGGATGAAAAGAAAAACATTGAAACCTATGTTCTGGCAAACCTTTGTTGGTTTCTTTTTTTTTTCTGTAAAAACAAAATCTGAAAACAGAGATTTCTCCCCTGCGGTTCTAAAAAGAGGATCAAATTGTTTGCTACGATATTCTGGCTTAAAATTCTTGTCAAGATTCCTCCGAAATACAGTACCCCTATAATCACCAGAGTCTGGTCCTGCCAGATTAATGTGAAAGAATCCTATAATACCAACTTTTACAAGTTCACCTACACCACACTAATGATCCATGTGATGTGGCGACTACTCAATACCTTGAGAAAATACTACATTGCAGATGCTGCATTCATGATCCATGTGAATATGCTGACATTGAATTATACACAAGCAATTTAGGACGGCACCTGGTCAAGCAATGTCAGATAGTACCAGTACTCAGGTTTCAAAGTACCGAGGACCCCTTTGAATTGCATGAAAGAAAAAAAAAGAGAAACAGAAAAAAAAAACATGATTCTCATAGAAATACAAGTCCAAAATAGAGTATTGCAAAACGCAAAAAAAAAAGAATACTGTAAAAAAAAGAGCAGAAATCAGATGAGCAAAATAGACTAATTTTTTTTCCAAGAGACTGAAGCTCTTACTAAGTTTTTTTTAAAATCTCTATAAGATTGTTTATTCCATAGGAATTTCAAAGATAGTGTATGATTCAATCTTTTATTTTAAAAGCCTTCAAAGAAAATTTTTTCTATAGAATCAATCTAAAATTCCTATTTTTTTTCTTACAAATTGAAGGGACTATGAAACTTGTATTCCCTCCAACACAAAATAAACAAGCTTGTACACCTGTATTCACATTCATAGCAACAGGTGTCAGAAAGCAGTCATAATTATATACTCCCTCCTGACATAGAACATTACGCTTCAGATAGCAAAACTGATGCACTTAGTAACAATTTTTTTTTTCTGAAACGTAGTGATCAGAGGGAGTATATTTTTATGCAATAGCTCACAGAGTAATAAGTGAACAAGGTAAAGATGAATAATCGATCCATCCCATATAAATAAAGCTATTTCTACCCCATTAAGCTTTATTTTAAAAATAAAGCTATTTCTTTACCGACAGCCCTCGTCTCAACCAATAACAATTATTCCCCATTTAATTTCTTCGTATACTTTCTCTTCTCAATTAATCACAACATTTTCTCAATCATTTTCATATGCTCTCTTAGTTCCCGTAAAAACCTTTAGAAATACTTGTATTTTGGGACGGAGGAAGTATGTAATAAAAAGCATTAGCACGGTCCGTGACACATAATTATGCTGATAATGTCACATTCATATGTTCTCAGTGGACGACTATCTCCCAAACATCAACAAGAAGGCTTAAATCTCTCCCCGTCCCTTTTCTTTGACAATCAGAAGAAATGAGAGAACATGTTACAATCAATCTACCGTTCTTTACCCGCCAAGGTCTTCTCCTGCACAGATCATGGAGCAATAATAAGGACGTTGTTACCGTTCTTGACCTGCCAAGGTCTTCTCCTGAACATATCACGGAGCAACAATAAGGACGTGAGCCTACCTGATAGTAGTTGTAGAATTGCAGCATGCCCTCTTCACAGCAACGTGCCTTTCTCCAGGAAATCGAGTATGTATGAATCTTGCTGCACTAGCATGTATAGTGATGAAAAGAATTGTTGGTCTCTGCATCGTTCTCTATTCTCGGCAACATCATCCATAAATTCATATTCATTCCCGGGGCTGGTGTACCTAGTGTCAAAAGAAAATAAATTATTTAGACTAAGAATCTCAAACCTCTAGGCATAGCTTTTCGGAAACAGTAAAAATAAAGAGGAAGATTTCATACAAGTAATATGCTGGAACTCACTTGGAAATAAAGAACTCTGAAACCAATGAAAATAATGAATGGGTACAAAAATAGATTCAGAAAATGTTTAATTTCTACAAACAGAAGCCGTGAAAATAATGAATGGGTACAAAAATAGATTCAGAAAATGTTTATATTTCTACAAACAGAAGCCGTGTCCTGCTAGTTTAATGTGAAAGGCTCCAATAATCCCAACTACTACAAGTTCATCTGCATCACAATGATCCAAGTGCCGACTACTGAATACTCCCTACTTTTCTGAAAACATTGTGGATGCACTTCATTACGATCCATGTGAATACACTGATACTGCATTTAAATACGGAGTAATAACCAATTTGGGACGGCACCTGGTCAATCAATGTCAGACAGTACCTCTAGAGGTTTCAAAGTACTGAAACCTGCACATCTGTACTCACAGTAACAGGGTGTCAAGAATTTGGTCACAATAACAGGTAAATTATCGCAAGAGCTAACAAGGTAAGGTTGAACAATCAAAGGCATCAGCACATCTGTGAGCTGGCAACTATGTACTTCAAACATCCATATCCTTATCATCACAACTCACAAGATAGCTTACATTCCGTCGTTGTTCATGTTGCACAGTCGGCAGAAATGACAAAACATGTTACAATCACTCATTCACTCTACCAAGGTCTTCTGTTCATATCACAGTGCAATAAAAAAGAACAGAGACTTCCTCGTTCTTTGTATAATTGCAGTTCATCCTCTTCACAGCAACGTGGGGATTGTTTCAGGCAACCAGGAAAGCAAGCTAGGCTTTCTTCAGGAAATCAAGTATGTGATCCATATTGTGCAAATTGCAATTCTGCATGTAATTTTGTCTTAAGTAGAATTTCTTTAACTTTGAAGCACGTATACCCCATGCCTTCCGATCTTCATTCATGTAGCGAGATTCGGACTGATGTTAATTGCTGCATATGAATACAGCATGCTGCATTCACTTCAAACTAACATTTTCTCCATGCTTCCCAGTGTCAACTATGTTTGCCTCTCTTCTGTTGATTCTGCTGCATGTGCTCCAATCAGTGTCGACATCGACAATGGAATATCATAACACAACTGATGAGAACATCTTGCTAGCATTCAAGGCAGGCCTAAGCAACCAGAGTGATGTCCTATCTTCATGGAAAAAAAGCACAGATTTCTGTCAGTGGCCAGGTGTGCTTTGCAGCCTTAAGCATAAACACAGGGTCACAGTGCTTAACCTCTCCTCAGAGAGCCTTGCTGGCACAATCTCCCCTTCCATTGGGAACCTCACATTCTTGAAAATTTTAGACCTCAGTGGGAACAATTTGGATGGTGAAATACCTTCATCAATTGGCCGTCTAGCTCGATTACAATTTCTTGATTTGTCCAACAACTCACTCCATGGCGACATAACCTCTGACTTGAAAAACTGCACCAGTCTTCAGGGCATCAGTCTTAAATCAAACTACCTCACCGGAGAAATCCCTGCTTGGCTTGGAGCCCTACCAAGTCTCAAGCTCATATACCTGCAGAAGAACAGCTTCACTGGATCCATCCCGACCTCCCTTGCGAACCTCTCGTCGCTGCAAGAAATCTATCTCACCATGAATCAACTTGAGGGCACCATCCCTGAGGGTTTTGGTAGGCTCAGTGGTCTCAAGAACATTCATCTGGGTGTAAACCACCTCTCAGGCATGATCCCAACAAGCATCTTTAATATTTCCTCGCTAAGTTGCTTCGGTGTACCCATGAACCAGTTGCATGGTTTGCTCCCCTCTGACTTGGGGATTCACCTACCAAAGCTCCAGTACCTCCTCCTAGGCTATAACCACTTTACAGGAAGCCTTCCAGCCTCTATCGCCAATTCAACTGAGATATATTCCCTCGACATATCGTTCAACAACTTCAGTGGAAGCATACCTCCAGAGATTGGAACACTTTGCCCAGACTTCCTCTCATTTGATACAAATCAGCTCATAGCAACTACTGCTGAAGACTGGAAATTCATGACATTCTTGACAAACTGCACACGCCTGCGTATTCTTGACCTCCAGGACAACATGCTAGGTGGCGTGCTGCCAACCTCTGTTTCCAACCTTTCAGCACAACTCCAACTACTATATGTTGGATTCAACAAGATCTCAGGAAATATACCATTTGGCATCAGCAACCTGGTTGGGCTAAATCAATTGCAACTCGCTAATAACCAATTTACTGGTACCTTGCCTGATAACATTGGAAGGCTAAGTTTTCTACATCTCTTGGGCATCGAAAATAACCTATTGACAGGGTTCATTCCATCATCAGTGGGGAATTTAACACAGCTCTTACGTCTTTCCATGGATAACAACATGCTTGAGGGACCTCTCCCAACAAGCATAGGGAACCTGCAGAAGATAACTCTAGCCTTATTTGCACGCAATAAATTTACAGGACCATTGCCCAGAGAGATCTTTAACTTATCTTCCCTGTCATATGCTCTGGTTTTGTCAGGGAACTATTTTGTTGGTCCTCTTCCTCCTGAAGTTGGCAGCTTGACAAATCTTGCATACTTGTACATATCCAGCAACAACTTATCAGGGCCACTACCTAACGAACTTAGTAATTGCCAAAGCTTGATAGACCTCCGGTTGGACCAAAACTTATTCAGTGGTAACATCCCAGAAACTCTCAGCAAACTGCGGGGCTTGACATCGCTGACTTTAACCAAAAACACACTCTCAGGAGTGATTCCTCAAGAGTTGGGCCTCATGGATGGCATGAAAGAATTGTATCTTGCACACAACAACTTATCTGGTCATATCCCAGTAAGCATTGGAAACATGACATCATTGAACCGTCTAGATCTCTCTTTCAACCATCTTGATGGTGAAGTTCCATCAAAGGGAGTGCTCAGTAACATGACAGGGTTCGTATTTAATGGGAATTTGGGGCTCTGCGGTGGTATCCCAGAATTAGGCTTGCCCCCATGTCCGCCAGTGTCCATGGGACACAGCCTAAGGAAAAGTCATCTTGTCTTCAGAGTAGTTATCCCAATTGTTGGCACCATTCTGTTCTTAAGTTTGATGCTTGCTATCTTTGTCTTAAGAAAGAAACCAAAAGCTCAATCTAAAAAGACAATAGGATTTCAATTGATAGATGATAAGTATCCTAGAGTTTCTTATGCTGAGTTGGTCCAAGGAACAAATGGCTTTGCCACAGACAGCTTGATGGGAAGAGGAAGATACGGATCAGTGTATAAGTGTGGTTTGCTGCTAAAAAGTATGATGACCACGGTTGCTGTGAAAGTGTTTGATCTTCAACAATCTGGTTCTTCCAAAAGTTTTCTAGCTGAGTGTGAGGCACTAAGTAAGATCCGCCATCGTAATTTGATTAATGTCATAACTTGCTGTTCAAGCACTGATATAAAGCAGAATGACTTCAAGGCCATTGTTTTTGAGTTCATGCCTAATGGGAGCCTGGATAGGTGGTTACATCTAGATGTGACGGCATCACAACCACCACAAGGTTTGACACTGATCCAGAGATTGAACATTGCCGTTGATGTTGCTGATGCACTAGATTATTTGCACAACAACTGCGATCCACCCATAGTTCACTGTGACTTGAAGCCAAGTAACATTCTTCTTGATGAAGATTTAGTTGCTCATGTTGGTGACTTCGGCCTTGCAAAGATTCTTGCTGATTCAGAAGGTGAACAACCGATTAATTCAAAGAGCTCTATTGGAATACGAGGAACGATTGGATATGTCGCTCCAGGTAATTCATTTTCTCTAATATTTTAATCTTGTCAACGAAAATGCATGCATAATCACTATTTTTGTCTATGCAACATAGAGTATGGGGAAGGCGGGCAAGTTTCTCCCTGTGGAGACGCGTACAGCTTTGGAATTGTCATCCTCGAGCTGTTTACAGGCATGGTACCTACTCATGACATGTTCAGAGATGGGTTAACCTTGCAGAAGCATGTCAAGAACGTATTTCCAGGAATTCTTATGAAGATTGTCGATCCAATACTACTGTCTATTGAAGGAGTTTATACAAGTAATTTGCCCCCTGGAAGAAATGCAATGGAACATATGAACCATGCCATATTGTCTATCATGAAAATAGCTCTCTCATGCAGCAGACAGGCACCAACAGAGAGGATGAGGATCAGAGATGCAGCAGCAGATTTGCGCAGGGTAAGGGATAGCCATGTAAGAGGAAATGAGGAGCATCTAGAACTGTGCAGTGATGTCACTAATCTAGCCAGTGCTTGACAAAACATAGAACACACCTACCAATGGGCTTCGGCATCTCTTTTCCTACTCTACAAGGTGAAAAGAAATTTCATCTCAATAATATTGGTCCGGCACATGGGGCGAACGCAAAAGTGAATTTGGATTTAACATTGTTGGATTTTTGATTTATTAACAAATCAGGAATATACTGTATGCAATTCAATCTTTATCGATGCAATTTGTGCAATTCTTTTTGTCTTTTTCACTACCATGGAGTTATGCATTCGACAGACCTTGTGACCATGCTTCCTGGGACGTGTTGTAATGTACAGGCAAAATGGGTGACCACAATGCTAGAAGGGTGTAGTTGTATTGATTATGGAGAAATCGAGCACATAGTACCTACCGGATAATGTATAGGCACTTTTAATTGAGCACAGGATGGTTCCTCCCCCCACCACCAAAAAAAAAAAAAACCAAAACTGAAAATCAAAAAAGAAAGTAATGATATCACTTTGATTCGTAACACAGAAGAAATTGCTCCTATGTGCTTATGTATTTTATTATGGCTAATAACAAAACAGTAGGTAAAACGTGCTGTTTCCAGGAGTTACAGGGATATCTGTTAATGAAAAAATTATTTGTGGACAAGATGAAAAAGGAAACATTTTGATGGGAAAAAAATGAAAATGGTTATGTTTACGTACCGCAATGCAGTGCCACTCCACAAGGAGGTTATCATGTAATCATCTAACTTTCAACACCTATACTTGATGTCCTTCCTTGATACAATAATAATCCAACTCTATTCCTGTTTGGGGGGAAAAGGTAATATAGATGTGTACTATAAGCAGAGAGTAAATTTACTACTCAGAAAAGGGGAAATCATCCATCATAACTCTATTAAGACCAGCTTGGCTTACAATTTTTCCCCTTGCTTCTCAGAAGTTCACATCCCAACTAAATCATCTGTACGTACAATTGAGACACCAAGCTGCAAAAAATAATAAGTAGCGATCTAATAAGTACTAATAAATAGTGGCTCAACAGAAGAAATAGTGAAATTGAAAGCGCTTGCAGTGAACTTTAGTTATCCTTCCTAGCTATATTATCTTCATAGATGGACTCATTATGTGTTTTGATATATACTTCCATCAAAAAGCTACACCGGAAAACCAATTGTACAGATCTCAATGCAGTTGAAGAGGTTAAAATTAGTAGTCATCCTCCTCTTACTGCTGTTTTACAAATTACAATTAGTGCAAGAAAGTGCAGCACAAGCATAGAATCACCTCTCACAATGTCAAGATCATAAAACGATGAACCAAATATTCTCCAAACTCGGCTATACATATATTCGGAAATACTTCAACTCCTATTGCCTTGTTCTGAGTTAGTTGACACTTGACAGGCATACAAAGTTAAGACACAGAAAAGTAAAACAAACAAATTTCATTTCACCATTATTCGTTGCAAGAGTGAACAATATTGCTTTTGTCTAGTCCTCCCCTCTTCTGCTGCAACAGAATATCCACGCATTCCAGCAGGAAGACGTAGCTGGGCAGCTGGCTGTCTCATATTCAACTGGAAGTTTATAATTTCAACTTTCCAGAAGGGATTACCTAAAACCATACGCCATTATTAACCTCTAATTCGCACAAACTACTTGTAGAATCTTGGTACGTTAACCTCTAATTCGCACAAATTACTTGTAGAATCTTGGTACGGAACCTGTTTTCTTATTAAACAGGAGGGAGAAAACGTCTGAAAAAAAGAAAAACTAATGGGCGCTGCTGCGCATAGCATACTCACGGATCGGATCAACCGAGAAGACGAGCTGACCACGGCACGACGACGAGGCCATCCATGGCACTGGCGGCGGCGGCGGCGGCGGCGGAGCGGCCCGAGGCGGATGTGGCGGGGGTTCATGCAGCCCGAGGCGCCGCCGGCTATTCCTGGATGCGGGGTCGAGCTGTAGCGGTCGAGCGGTGGCGATCGGCAGTGGTGGTGGGGGTGGTGATTCTGGCCGGCCGGCCGGCCGGCGAGCGCGGCGGAGGGCGGTGGTGCCACGGCGGGGGCTCCGGCGGCGGCGACGAGTCGATGTGGGGTGGCGAGGTCTGCGCGTGGGCCGTCGGATGAGGAATGGACGGCGCGCATTTCGGCCGGTTCACACACAGACCTGAGGGAAACTTGGGCCATGATGGGCCGCACAGAAAAAACCGGTTTATTTGGCTCTGGGGACATTGGTTTCCGTGATAATAATCTATAAATATTTATGCTTCTACTCTCTTCATTTTATTTTATATTATAAGTCATTTGAATTTTTTTTAAAATTTCTTTATGTTTGACAATGCTTATAAAAAAATTAGCAACATCTACAACACCAAATTTATTTTATTAAATTTAACATTAAATATATTTTATAATGTGTTTGTCTTGTATTAAAGATATAAATATAGTTTTCTATAAATTTGGTCAAACTTAAAAAAATTTTATTCAGAAAAAAAATAAATGACTTATAATATGAAATTGAGAGGGTAGAAAACAATACCAGAAAATTATAAGGGAATCTCTTTTTTTCCCTACATATAAACCCGCGCATGTATTTAAGCTTGTTCACCTAATTATACTAATGGATTATTTGTTCCAGCCTTAAGAAAATGTTGTCTAGAAACTTTATTCCATTGATATTATGTTTATTTATTAAAAATTAAATTTATGAATATAGTCAAGTTGATAGTCGTAATAATAATTTGCTCAATAATCTAAATCTAAGTCCAAATTAAAGGAGGTTGGGAAGAATAGAATAGACACTATTAATTGTATGTAGCCAACCTCCCATATATACAATCAATCTCCTATTTTATTGTTTGCAAAAAAAAATCCTCCTATTTTATGACTATATATCATACTATCTGGTTTTGTGCAATTAATACAAAACGCCGAGAAAGAGGCTAAGAATAAAATAGTGATCAGAACAGCTAGACATAATCCAAATTAGAAAATATCCGGCCAAGCCAATAATCGAACCGTATTATACCAGTGCTTGATCTCCTAATCACGTCGAAAGTTTTTTTTAACTCGTACAAGTGATCCCGAATTCCCGATTAGCAATAGAGCACAACGCAAAAAGAGTATTTTTTTAATATAATTTCCACGGATGTCAGAATAATTCCCATAAAATTGCTAAAAGAAAATATTTCATTTCATAGCAGACGAGGAATATAATAGACATCACCAATTTTCATGTGTCTAGATGGCCACTCCTAGCATATGCGCAACAAATTTCATATGATATGACTATATCAAACAACTGATCCGATTTTGCATAATACAGAAAGCTGCAAAGAAAATAAAATACTAAGGCTCGTTTGTGAGGTAATGCTGAGATTTTTAGCCCACATAAAATTAAAAATATTAGGTAACTATTGAAAACTTATAGAGAAATTCTATTTTTTATGAAAAATATGTAAGTAATAAAATGTTTTGAGAAAAAACTTAGCTGCTCGATAAATATGCCCATGATAGACAAAGTAGCCTAACCGAGAAGGCAACATATCCTATGCACACAGGCCCTCACGTGTACACACGTGCACACCAACTAAAAAATGTCACCAAAAAATCTAGAAAAAATCATACACATACTTTCAATTGTATTACACCTAGAGTTAAAATCTTAACGTCAAATTCATTATATTTTAGCCATAAAAAAACAAAAAATCTGACAGTTTTAAGGTTGCAATTTTGTCAGAATTTTATCTTTTTTGTTATTCTCTATGTAGAATGAATTTGAAGATGCGACTTTGCACGTAGATGTAATACTATTGAAAGTACATGTATGAATTTTCCTAGAATTTTTTGGGATAATTTTTAGTTGGTGTACACGGTGTGTACACGCGAGGGCATGTGTGTATAGGATACGCTCCCAACCGAGAAGCTGTTTAAATCTCAGCCTAAAACAAAACATTATCTGAAACAACTAGCCATCAACGTAATCCAAATTAGAAAAAGAAAAATCTCCGGCCAAAGCCCAATCCAATCCAATCGTATCACATGATTTCACATCACACAGACCTCCTTGATCTCCTAACCACGTCGCATACTTAAACTTAACCACTCGTGATGAATGGTCCCGATTAACAAACAAACAGAAAAAAAAACAAAAAGAAAGCCCAAAGCAAGTAACTGCGCCATGACTAACACTAATTAACTAAACCCTCCATAACTAATTAATTAATCACTCCAATTAACTAATCCCCCGCCCCTCCCTCCCATCCGATCCCGTCCGTCCATCTCCGATCCGACGGCCCACACGCGCCCCACCGACCCCACCAAAACCCACCCCGTACACACCGCCGCAGAAAATCCCGCCACACCTAATCCACTCTAGTAGCTCTCACATTTAAAATGCGTGGGCCCCACTAACCTCGCTTAAAACCGAAGCAAACCAACCAGAAAAAACCCCGCAAAAAAAACGCGAGAGAGCCAAAAAAAAAAAGAAAAAAGAAAAAAGAAAAGCGGAAGAGAAGAAGAGTCGAGAAGCTTCTGGGGGAGAGAGAAATGGGGAAGGGCAAGGTGCACCCCTCGCCGTCGCCGGCGGCGGGGGCGGGTGAGGAGACGGCGGAGGCAGTGCTGATGAGGTTGCTGCCCGCGGCGGTGGTGGCGATGGCGGCGGGGCTCGGGGCGGAGGGGAAGGAGGTGCTCGCGTACCTGGTGCTCGCGTCGATGCGGTCGTCGTCGGCGGCGAGGTGGGGGCAGGCGGAGGTGGGGAAGGGTGGAGGAGGAGGAGGGAGTGGGAGGGTGGGACACCACGCGCCGGAGCTCGGGTGCGGCTGCTTCGGGTGCTACACGGCGTACTGGTCGCGGTGGGACGGGTCCCCCGAGCGCGACCGCGACGCGATCCACCGTGCCATCGAGGCGTTCGAGGACCACCTCTCCCGCAAGGAGGAGGAGGAGGTCGTCGGCGGCGGCAAGGGCGCCTCCTCCCGCCGCCGCAAGAAGCGCAGCGGCAAGGACAAGGCCAAGGCCAAGGTGCCGCCCGCCGCCTCCGCCGGTCAGCCACCTCCGCCACCGCCCAACCAGGAGGAGACCTCCGCCGCCGCCGCCGCCGCCTCACCACCAAAATCGATTCTCGACGGGGAGGAGGAGGAAGAGGAAGAAATGAAGAACACCGCCGCCGCTGCCGTCGCCGGCGCCGGCGACGGCGGCGTGGTGGAGGAGGAGAGGAGGCGGCGGGGATGGGGAGTGCTGAGCTGGAAGGTGTGGAACCTGTGGGGGTCCCACTAGTCAGTGAGACAACCAATGGCTCCTCTTTTTTCATCATCAGTTAGGTCATTCTGCTTTTTTAGTTGGTGAGGTTTACATATGCATTTTTACTCTCTCTCTCTCTCTCTCTGTAGTAGGGGTTTTAGGTTGATTAGGAGATGCTCAACACATATGCTTAGTCAGCCCAGTTAGCATAATGATCATAAAAAAACAATAATGTTAATGTTTGTATGCCCATCACTCCATGACTCCATGTGATGATCATGCGTTTGGTTTTGTTCCATGTAAATATATGTCAGTCTAGTGTAAATATGTGTGGCATGTGGAAACAATGTGAATATTTAGTACAACTCTTTAAGTCTTAATTGCTTCTGTTTAGCACAACATTTTTTTTCTTTGGTCAGGACATGAGAATGAGATTATTACCCTATTTGAACCAAACAATTAACATCCGAGCTAGAAATGTTATTCGTTTGTAGTTTCGGCTGCGTGAGGCATATACTCTCTCCGTTTTGAAATGTTTGACGCTCTTGACTTTTTAGCACATGTTTGACCGTTCGTCTTATTCAAAAAAAATTTAAGTAATTATTAATTCTTTTCCTATCATTTGATTCATTGTTAAATATATTTTTATGTAGGCATATAATTTTACATATTTCACAAAAGTTTTTGAATAAGACGAACGGTCAAACATGTGCTAAAAAGTCAACGGTGTCAAACATTTTGAAACGGAGCGAGTATATTTGATAGTCTTCTTTGGACTAGTCCTCCCAATTTTAGATAGGCATACATTCTTGGTCATATGCCCTCGTCAAAGTTGGTAAATTTTACTTGGTCAATTGGAAAGATCCATTGGTCATCAGGGACCAGGCTGTTAACTGTCTTGGGACTCTTAGGTTATCCAGGAAAGCTTTGGTGATAATCTCTTTCTTGTTCCGGTTGGTTGGATAATCAATTAGTCATCATCAAAGATCAACTGTCTCGGTTATCTGGGAAGGAAGCCTTTCTGCGGTGATCTCTTTTTGTGCTGGGAAACCTTTTTGTGGTCATCTCCTTTTGTGGTGATCTCTTTCTTTATTTGGTTGGTTAGTTAGGACCTATAATTGGATACTCCTAGTAGTACTTGTATGGTACTCCCTCTGGTTCAATAATTTTGGACAAAGACACCGTCTTCAAAATGTATATTTGAGTATGATTTTTCATTATAACGCATGAAAAAAATAGGTAACTATTATTTAATTTTATTAATGTATATGTTCTTAACCAAAATGTTCTAGTGCCCTCAAACTAAAATTAAAACTTGTCCGAAACGCAAGAATCATGGAACCGGAGGAGGGGTTATTACTACTGGCACATGAGAATAATGTGAGATGCTCTTTTCTTGGGAGCTACTTAAGCACAAAGAGGAATTTCGCTTTCATGGTTTCTTTGGATGCTGGTGTGTTGAGTTATGTGGTGCTCTGTCTACTGTCGTTGCTTTCATCACTGGATGAATGGATTGGATGGATGCCCTTTTTTTTCTGGTGCTTATTCGCCGCCCGTTGAATTTCTCTGTGGCACCGTCCAAAATGGAAGTTGTTGTTCTTCAGGCCGGCAGGTTTGTACGTGTGGCCACGGTTTGTTTGTTGGCTTTTGTACTTAGCTCCGTTTTTAAGTATACTTGACGGTGTTGGCTAACTTTATATGTGTGGTTTGTGTTTTGATGGAAAGTTGCGTGAAAATGGCTCCGGTTTGTTGGCCTGTATGTACGGTTGTACCGATTTGTGCCTGCATTTATTGATCTTGATCAGGTGTGTTCGTCAGCTAATGCTGGATTTGGGTTGTGTGGTGGCTGTTAATGTTTGTACCGTGTGCTCCCAGCATTTTGGACAGGAATAAGGCTGTGTTTAGATCAGGGGTGAAAAGTTTTGGTGTGTCACATCAGATATACGGACATACATTTGAAGTATTAAACGTAGACTAATAACAAAACAAGTTACTGATTCCGCCTGTAAACCGTGAGACGAATTTATTAAGCCTAATTAATCCGTCATTAGCAAATATTTACTGTAGCACCATATTGTCAAATCATTGGCGCAATCAGGCTTAAAAGATTCGTTTCGCAATTTACACACAATCTGTGTAATTAGTTTTTTTTTGTTGTCTATATTTAATACTCCATACATGTGTCCGTTTATTTGATCTGATAGGGTGAAAAGTTTTTGCGTGGGAACTAAACAGAGCCTAAGTTCACTTTGACTCCCTTAACTAGTGGTTGAATCTGTTTCTTATCCATGAACCACAATACCGGATATTTCGACCCCCCAACTATTAAAATCGATGCAATTTGACTCCCTTAGCGGTTTTGGAGGACAGTTTTGCTGACGTAGCGCATACGTGGCGGTGTTGACTCGGTCTTTGTTCCACCTGGAGTTGACGTAGCACTTATGTGTATTAGAATTAAAAAAAATATGAGTGGGACCCATTTGTCATTCACACATATAATGTGGGCCCCACTGACATGGCGAGCCCACATGTCAGACCTCTTCATTCTTCCTCCTTCCTTTCTCTCTCCCTCATATCTCTCTCTCTTTCTCTCCCTCTTTCTCCTCCCCATCAGAGGTACGTGGCGAGCAGGGACCAGATCAGCAATGGCGACGGGCGGGGTCGGGGCGGCGGCGGAGCGTGTGGAATAGGAGGATGGACTGGTCGAACCTTGATGGGGACGGCCCGCCGTTCTCACCGTTGAGCATCCTCACCAACGATGTCACCGTGTGCTGGCCGTGGCAGCTGTGCTCGGTCGATCCACGCTGCTCGCAGGAGCGGCGCCTTGGACAACCGCTTCATTCCCTGGCTAAGGTGGCGGCGGGCGGGTGGCGACGGAGCATGCGGGGGAGTGTCAATGGTCGTTATAGACCGATTTCGACTGTCAATCTATCTATGCTTGCAATGCATATTTTATTAAAAATAATCTAGTTCTACTTGTACTTGGCAATGCATTTGTTTGCAGAGATCTTTACATAAATGGAAGAGAATCGACGGAGAACAACTGAACAATCAATTGGAATCTGTCAAAAGGTAGACTTATGGGTGGATGGGCTTACAAACTGTCACACTCTGAAAATCGCCTAAATTATAAATTGTTGTGAAAAAGGAATTTTTAGAAGTTATTTAATAATTAAAGTAAGTGTTTGAATAAACTCTATGAAAAATTTGAACATCAAATTGAGCTAGATAATTTTTTCTTAAATACATTGTGTGCCCAAGTATTTTCAGGATTTTTCTTAGATTTATTTGAGCATTGAAAGTATTTTGAATAAATGAAACATCATTTCAGCAATTATTTAAATTAAAAAGTCAATTAAAATCCCTTTCCAAAGCTCTAGGCCAAATCCGGCTCACTCCCTTTTGATGATTGCTCTATGTCAGCTGCAAGTGCAGTGATATGGAGTTGTATTTAATAATGTAAGTGTGGTGCTTAGATTATTAGATATCATGAATTGGTATTATATGCCACGGGACAGTAGAGGTGGGCCGCTGATGGTGACAGCTCAATACTAGTACGGGTATTTGTCCACGTGGGTATATAGTACTAAGATAAATTTCTGGTGTGGGGTACTCCTCTATATTCATTACCGGTTGGATGGTCATGACGGCTTTATCGTAAGTAACTAGACAATTAGGGGTGGTCTCTCCAAACACCCGAAGGGCATAGTCAGAGGGTATCGACTATATTATTGTATACTAACAAGTGTATATTAAAATGGCTATATACTAGAAGTATAGAAATGACTTTATTTTAATTAGAGAAATATGGTTACTTTTTCTGTGTCACATATTTCTACCCCTGAATATTGTTTAACCCATGCATAAACTTTGATTTATATATGTGATATAAATTATAAGCATGGTACTCTCTTATCGTATCTTCTCTTAGGATTAAATAAATATGAAACATTGGAATACTTCCGGTTGAAATACTACAAGGTATATCCGTGTGCTTACAGATTATATATGTAATCGTAAAATATATCGGGAATATTTCGATGCCATCACTGGGAATTATATTGTCGGGAGGATGCACTGGTCGAACCGCTTTCTTCCCCTGGCGGTAGCGCAGAGCAGCGACACCGTTTGCTGCCCGCCCACCGCCGTCGCCCGCCGGTCCCCGCCCAAGATGCAGTTGACGCGGATGTCGTAGGCGCTGAGCTCACAGGTAGCGTTCTTGGCGTGCGGGCTGAGGCTGCCGCCACCCGCCACAGCTGCTGTTCCAGCCCTTGCCCGCACGTCGTCGTCGCAGTGCCCACCCACCGCCGCCCCACCAAAGGGGAGGTGAAAGGGGGAGAGAAAGAGAAAGATGAGGGAGGGAGGGAGGAGGAAGAATTAAGACGATTGACATGTGGGCCCCACATGTCAGTGGGCTCACATTATATATGTGCGAATGACAAATGGGTCTCGCTCATATTTTTTTAATTCTAATACACATAAGTGTCACATCAGTAAAACCACCCTCCAAAATCGTCGAGGGAGTCATATTACACCAATTTTAATAGTTGGGGGTTCGAAATATCTGGTATCGTGGTTCAGTGATATAATTAGATTTGACCACTACTTGAGGGAGTCAAAGTGAACTTATTTCTTTTGGACGGGGCATTGCTTCCAAACGGGAAGCAGTTGGACAATTAGAATGGGCTTTGGGCCCAAAAAGCCCACTTAATGCATCCATCTTAGCCAACATAAAAGGATTAAGTCCAATCGGGCTCCCTCAAATATAGAAGGTATGATAGCTCAATGGTTGAGGTGGTTTCCTTCAACGCAAAGGTCTAAGGTTCGAACTATATTTTTTCCTACCAACTGTTATATGCCTAAAAAATTTACATGCTCAAGGCTTCAAACCCAAGACCTAGTACTAAAAACCAAATGAGCTAACCACTGCACTAGTACATTTTCAAGTAGGAATCACCAATACAACCTTTTAGGCTTTGCAAAGGTTATTGCCGATAAGAGTGGCGCTGACCCTTGATGATGTGGCTAACATCTCGGACGGAGGTTAGTGCTAAAATTAGTGGCGCTGAGATGTTGGATCTTAGCGCCATTGGAATTGGCGCTGAGGTCACGGTTCATTTTTGAAATAAGTTTTTGACACGGTTTATTTTTGTAATAAGTTTTTGTAAAGGGTCAAATTGTTAAAATTTGTGAAGATAGTTGGTAAGGTATTGTGTTTGAGATATGCGCATCAGATTTGACCTATATTTAAGGGAGTCAAAGTTAATTTATCTAAAATAAAATAATGCGACATTGGCCCTTTTCCCTCGTTGTGCTGTTGAACAAAGCTAGGCCTTGACCCATTAATTCAAGTTGATTGCATTAATACTCCTCTAAAATT